CATATCTGATCAAAAAGTAGCACACAAGGATTTGAAATCGACCATGTGTCTCCCATTTGGGGACTTGACTGCAAACCAAAGTGGAGCTTTTATAAACAAGGAGCAGATGGAAGGTCTCCTCTGGGTGTGAGTGCAGTGTCACTGCGGCCAACGTGCAAAAGAAATTACAACCAAATTTAAAGCATGATGAGTAAGACTGGCACATTAACAGAACTGAACAGACACTGAATTTCATGTGCTGCATCATATATGCTGGGAAAGTATTTATAAAGTTTCACTCTTTGGGCTTTAAGCAACTCATAAGAGTTTCACAATCAAGTCCACCCATTTAGCACTCACTGAAAATCTAAAACATAATGTCGAACATCATTGACATACACTACCTGACAAAAGTCCTTTTGTCGTTCCCTGTTGTAAGAGCAACAAATAATAACTTGACTTAGCTGATTAATTGGAAAAGTGGCAGAAGGTAGATGATTGCATCCTAATCATCAAAAATACTGCAGAAGACCTATTGGAACCCACACAGACCCAAGATTCTCACATAAATCAGTCAGGTTTGGTGAAGGAAAAATCATGGTTTGGGGTTAAATTCAGTATTGGGGTGTGCGAGAGATCCGCAGAGTGGATGGCAACATCAACAGCCTGAGGTATCAAGACATTTGGCATGACCATTACATTACAAACCACAGGAGAAGGCAAATTCTTCAGCAGGATAGCGCTCCTTCTTATACTTCAGCCTCTACATTAAAGTTACTGAAAGCAAAGAAGGTCAAGGAGCTCCAGGATTGGCCAGCCAAATCACCAGACATGAACATTATTGAGCATGTCTGGGGTATGATGAAGGAGGAGGCATTAAAGATGAATCCAAAGAATCTTGATGAACTCTGAGAGTCCTGCAAGAACGCTTTCTTTGCTCATGGAAGTCACACACATTCATTTATTCATTCATTTTCTTGTCGGCTTAGTCCCTTTGGAAGTCAAACACAATGAATAATTATTTTTCCACAGCACCATGACTTTATATTCTATATTGTAGATTATTGAACAGTATCAATACATATATGAAACAGTGTCAGTCCAGTTTTCAGTGTTTAAGTTCAGTTCAGCTAAGTGTGGTATAATAATTACTACTGAGAGTCCAAACACTGAAGAGCAAATCCATTGATGCGCAGCTCTGCGGGTACCAAACCATCCAAGCTAGTGGCGACAGCGGCGAGGAAAAAAACGTTCACCAATTGGCGAAAGTGAAAAATTTAAAAATTTTAAATTGAGCGAAACCAGGCTCAGTTCTGCATGACCGTTTCTCCTATGGCCAAACGCTTTGTGCAGAGCTGCAGTCTAGGCGCTAACCCTAACCCTAGTCTTAACGTATTAAAAATATGTTTAAAATATTGCTGAAACATTTAGGAGACACAATAAACGCAGTATTGTACCCTTATTAAATACCAAAGTATTAGAAAACAAAACTTTTTGTCTTATTCCTTCATTCATTCATTTTCTTGTCGGCTTAGTCCCTTTATTAATCGCCAAAGTGGAATGAACCGCCAACTTATCCAGCACGTTTTTACGCAGCGGATGCCCTTCCAACCGCAACCCATCTCTGGGAAATATCCACACACACACACACACACACACACACACACTCATACACTACGGACAATTTAGCCTACCCAATTCATCTGTACCGCGTGTCTTTGGACCCGGAGGAAACCCACGCGAACGCAGGGAGAACATGCAAACTTCACACAGAAAAGCCAACTGAGCCGAGGTTCGAACCTGCGACACAGCAACCTTCTTACTGTGAGGCGACAGCACTACCTACTGCTACACTGAGTCGCATTTTTTTGTCTTTGTATTTAACCGAATTATAATTGCAGCACAAAGAAAGAAAAAAACAGAATCAAATGCCACCTAGAGATTAATCAATCTCCCAAATGGAGCAACTTGTTCGGCACATAAATTACAGCAAATTTTTAACCAGACAGTTTTTGTATTATTGCTTAAACTTGAGAAAACATTCTGCTACTGTAAATTAATCTCCAGAGGTTTCCATGACAGTTTACACTCTGGACATGATCAAATTAAGCATTGTTGCGCAGCGGTTTAGGTCATTACATAACATTTACAATAAAGGCCAACATGATCCACTTTCGCATCAGCTAGATGTAAATTCACTAGAGAAAGGCAAACATTGCGACCTGAGGTTTATCATAGAATATGCGGATTTTTGGCCCGTCAAACAGTACAACCAGTGTCTCTATATTTGGAACCTGGGAAAAATAAACCTGAGATTTCAAACGGTGTTTATATATGGACATCTGGTCTAGACAAGAAAACATTTGAAATCCCACAGTCTGCGCTTGGGGGATCCATGAGATTGGCGAGGATTACGCTTTCAAACACTGTCATCCTCTTTCAGAAAATTGGTTTTGTTTGTGCAGATAACATGTCTTTCGGAGCAAATAAAGTTTTGCAAACTATTCCTTGCAATTAAAAAACCTTGAATGGCTTCGATATAGAACCAGAATAAAGAAGTAGTATTTGATCTCTGTAGAAACAATACATTTAGTCCAGTTACCTGATCACTTCAAGGGCCTGACACCTGACACTGTGTAAAGGCCACAGTATCCATCACTAACAGTCACGCTCTCATTTCTAAACATGACTTTCACCCACATTTGAACTAGAAGAACTATATCTTTATTAAAAAAAATAAAAAAAAGTCATGCATCTATATGGCTGGCTGGGTACACTGTAAAAATGCTGAGTTTCACACAATCAATTTGTGTTGAAATATGAATTAAGTAAACTTATTATTTTTTACAAAAGTGAATTGAGCAAAAAACAAATAAGTTGACCAAAAAAAAACTCAAGTATTGTGTTGTTTTAGCTTTTATATATATATATATATATATATATATATATATATATATATATATATATATATATATATATATATATATATATATATATAATGCAATTTTATACAGTTAGAAAATAAGTTAAAATCAAGATTAGAGAATAAAATTTTATATAGGGTGTTGAACTTGTAAAGGTACTATGCAGAACGATGGTGTATGACAAGTGTGTGATGATGACCATCCCTCATTCACTTTGCACATGAACCGAACTCCGCCGACTCTATCACAAGTTGGCCTGTGACATGAGACAGCAAACTAAACTGCGCTTCTCATGTACAGAGTGAGAGAGAGGGATGGTCTGCTTGATGCTGCACTGCGCTTTCCAGTCAAATTGGTCAAGCAGCAACACCACTTCCATAAACACCTTTTACAGACATGTAAAATACAACTCTCTCAATAATTGCTAATATGGAATATTTATGGCTGTACCTGGTGAGATCATAATTCTCCCAAAAATGCTAATCCTGTCATACTTTAAACTTTATTTTCAATTGAACGCCAAAGAAGATATATTGAAAAATCCTCAGACTTGTTAATCCAAGAAAAACTATGAAAGTCGATGGCTGCTGCTTTCACATATTCTTCAATATATCTACTTTGGTGTTCAACAGAAGAAACACTCGTAGAAATTTTCAAGCTCTGCTAGAATTTGGGTTGAACTATCACTTTCAACTCCTTTTTACATAACACTGATATTACAGTGCATTTGTTTCATGTGCCAAGCAGGGTTCTCTGTGTGTAAATTGTGAATATAATCACCTTTTTATTATTGAAAATACCTTCACCTACAAAATATACCACAGTTATTCATTTACAACCTAGGAAGTCACAAGAGGTGCCATTTATGTTCACACTTCGCAATTAAGCAAATAATACCCTATTCAATTAAATAAACAAAAGTGTTTTGTTCATTACAGATTATATTTAAAGACAAAACATTTATAGAATGCCAATTAAGCAGTCTCAGCTGTATTTCAGTTATTTAATTATGTTTATAATACGAAATCTGGCAAGTCTCACAACAAATTAGAATAAAATGCTACATCTAGTGTCTTGAGTGTCCCTTGTAATGGCTTGATGCTCTGAAATGGCTCTTTGTCATTCATCTCGCTGACTTCAGAGTAGCTCTCTTTTTGATTAAACTATTTATCATGCCGACAAACAACCAGGCAGAATAAATCGGGTTTGTTTGTCTAATCCACTCAGCCACTTAGCAGCCGTGAACACAAAGTGACCTTGCAGGCGGGAAACGCATTATCGACATTACTTGATTTTCAGCATCAGAAAATTCTCTCACACGTCAAACGGCATTTGCTTTCCTTCCAGCGGTTCATTCATTCAATACAGATGCAGATGAGCACTGTGAGCCATCGCCACAGCCCAAAGCAGACCACAACTAGAGGACCCGTTTCCCCTGGTAACCCGCCTTTGTTTGGGTCGGCTGCACTGGTCACTCATCGCGGTCGACAGTGCGGTCCCTCCCCGGGCGAAGGCGACAGCGAGGCCGCGGGGGAAAGGGGGAAGGGGTCGGTTCGGTCCATAAACTTTTAAACAAAACACCAAAAGTACGAACTAACAGTTCTACCCAAGAAATGTATACTGTGATCAATTACAAGTGATTTGACATCACAATAATTTAAACAAAATGATTCCAAAGGGAAAGCCAACACTAGTTTTCCAACGTTATCCATAATAACAACAACTTTGATGAACCGTTTGAACCCCCTTGACTGATGACAGAAATCTAATCAAAACAAAAGCTGAAATAATAATATACACAGATACAAATGTACATAATATGAATCATCTCATAACAAGACGAAAGTGTGACTGGCTATCAACTGCGTGTTAAAACACATGGCTGTAATTTAAAAGCCTGATGGGAGTATTTTGCCGCAGCATGATAGCAGGTTCCCCCAAACCACGAATCCCCAAAGCGGCTTTAGTGGCTGGCCGCAAGGTAGCAAACCGCTGTGCAACAATCAGTCCCCAGTGCTCGCAACAATGCAACTCTTTATATTTACAACAATGCGCTTTTGAAGCATAAGAATGAACGCAGAAACTGCCCATACTGACCTGGCGTTCAGGGGGATCTGGGAGCGGCCATGCCCGTTAGTTGGAGAGTCTCTGAAATAAACTTTTCCCTTTGCAGTCCTCGGCACTCGTGTAAAAAAGATAGTGCTCGGCAGCAACACAAAACACACGATCTGACCGCCTCGCGCTTCCAATCGCAGTCGGTCTCCGTGGGTGAGCGAGTGCGCGTTCGCGTCACTGCGCGCTCCCGCCTGTCCTGTGTGAAGCTCTGTCAGACTGCTGATGCTCCTGTGTTACCGCATCAGGCCCCCTCGTGGGGTTGCAAGGCTCTTGATCCCCCCTCTGCTCAGTGGAAAGCAGGCAGAGGCGTTTGCGTGGTTCTGCATGCATAACTTTGGGTCACTGGACTTTATTATACACTAAACCTTTATTTTATGTTTTCTATTGCATTAAGCAACGTGTATTGCAACAGTACATTAAAAACTTTCAGCAAGCTCCTCCCAATCTGTTGCAAAATCTTTTTATTTGCAGTTTTATCTTGCCATCAATTTTTTTTATTTTCCAAAACTGACAGAAATTGATAGGTATGTGGTAAGAGAATGATTTAAAATTTGGATTTGAGTGTCACCCAGTGGCTGTTTTTGGTACAATGCCTAAACGAAATCTCTGAAGAGCTTTTGTGATATCACTTTTTTAAATTTAAAACATAACTTGATTATAAATATGACTGTAATTCATTCATTTGCTTTTCAGCTTAGTCCCTTTATTAATCAGTGGTCACTATAGTGGAATGAACCACAAACTTATCCAGCATATGTTTTATGCATCGGATGCCCTTCCAGCCGCAACCCATCACTGGGAAACACCCATAAAAATGCATTGAGTGTGTAAACTAGCGACATTAGGAGTTAAGAAATGCAATCCAAAATATTTGTTTCAATGTAGGGCAGTTAAAGGGTTAAAAAGTAATTATATCCAGCACACTTATGAACAATTCTAAAATTGTTTTTGCATGTATGTGAAGTTAAATTTGCTTCATGAATCATTTGAATTTACAACTTAAGTGTACATTGACAAAATGTCCACCAGGGTGAGACATTTGTCAGCTGTAAAATGCTCTTGCTAAAGATTCAAGCATTTCTTAAATAATTATTTTTGCACAGTGTGTTTGAATAAATTAAAAACATACATTTGCCAGTTACCTGAATATTCACCTTGACCATTAGGAATAAACACCTACAATAATATTTTAATCGCTATTCAGTTATGCTTGTTGTTGGCAAGTCTGACTTCACATAGTTTACTTAAACTAAATTAAAATACTACATTTACTAATTTTGATCAGAGGTATTAAATCAAGGAAAATACGATTTTTAAATACATATATTTTTATTTGAAAGCATTTTAATCACTTTTATTTTAAAATTATAGACAACAGTTCACAACTTCCGTTTCTAAGCGGAGGTAAATGCGCTTGTAGTCCTAATCTGAACCCCTTACCGTTAAAAAATGCACAAAAAACTACAAAGACCATTGTGCTTTTCAGAAGACGTTTAAAAGGTTGCTGCGCAGTGTGCGGTAAAGGATGGTAAACAGAGGTTCGTTGACTTAAGTAAATGAAAGTACGTTTTTAGCTGGAGGTACATAAAAAAAATCTATTTCAGTATCATTTCTGTTAAAATGACAATAAACAAAATGTGGCTAGCCTAAAGTATATCGCCTCAGCAATGTAAATATAGTATCAAAATATATTTAAGTCGTTTTTATTTGGCATCACCTGCTATGGACCTGTCATTGCGCACTTGCAAAAAGTTTGTCCATTTGGACCTAAAAGGGGCTCCTCCTAGAATTGGTTACTTCATTGAGGTAAAGTTACTGCTTCAACTCCTACGGTCTAAATGTTTGCTTTAAATCTTAATAAAGAATCTTATCATACATGTGAACTCAATGATGTGTCTTCAGTTGATCCAGTTATTTGCTGATCTTGGTGCCAATGGGTTGCTCATTGAATATGAGGATATGTTTCCTTATGAGGGAGAGCTGCAAGTTCTTCAGTCTAAATCTCAGCCTCCATACAGGTGATATGTGTATTTCAATAATATTTGAGTATTTGTTTATTTGTTTGAGATTTTAAATGACAAAATCCCTAATATCCAAACAGCCGAGAGGAGATTGCGTCTATCCAGGATGCTGCCAGTAGCAGAGGGCTGGAGATCATTCCGCTGGTGCAGACGTTTGGACACTTGGAAGTAACTATTAAACTGATATTTGTCATTTACACAGTTGAAGAAATTTCTAGTTCAATATCAAATTGCCATAAATGAAAAACCATTAATGTATAAATATGGAGACACACAGACACAGATTAGTTTCTCTGCTTGCTAAGGCTGCACTAAGCTGCATTTACTGAATTTATTTTTTGAATGTAATTTATTTCCTTGATTCTATTTATTCATTATATCGGTTATCACTGTCACACTATTCTTCAGAACTCATTAGAATACGATTTACTGATTATTTACTATTGGTGCTCAATAATGGTAATTAATAACAATTCTTTTTTTTCTATAATGTATTTTTGAGCCTTATTTTATATTTTTATATTCAGAATTTTAAAAGAACTGAGGAGTACAAACATTATAATTTACAGTACTTTTTATACATGTACATTAAGACTGGAATAATGCCTAATAAACTTTCGAGAAACCAACAGTTTTAACTAAAAACTGACCAATCTGTCAGGTGTAGAAGAGCCGGAGTCAAATATTCAATCAAAGATATTTTAATGAGGATAGTTTTCATTAGCAGAAGCCAGCTTTAACACTCGCAAAGAGTTTGTAGGCCGTTCTGCTTACAATCTCAAATCATCAGCAATTATACTGTAACATGACGTCACTAACTGCATCATATCTGATTGGTTAAAACACAGATAGACTTTTCCACAGACATCTCCAATCTCCAATATTCCAAACAATATCTCCAATGATTACTTTGGCGTCAAGCATACAAGCGTCAGACAACCAGTAGGCTATTAAGAGCTGACCCCAGACCTGTAAGAATGACCCACCAAAGAATAGAACACACAAACAAAGTACAAACTGTTTTATACTCAAGGCTGTTTCCAATCATTCAAACGTTTAACTCCACATCAAGGTCTTCATGACCTCTAAATAGGCCGGAAGAACCTTTTGGTACAGAAAATTCAATAACAAACATAATTATTCCAGTTTTGACACTGAAGAGGGATGAAACTAGGCATGAGACGATAACCGGTTTCAAGGTTAATCATGGTTTGGAAAAGTCAAGGTTTTAAAACCGTCACAATTTTTTGTTATACCATTCCTAAGGTATATGTAAAAATTTTTATGTGTTATTGAAACTAATGAAGTTAGCAGTCAATGATTTGTGACATGTTCCCCCAATGACATGTTTGCTGTTTCAAAATAGTATATATGTTTCCTAAAATAAAACATATTGTGTTCAATAAGAGTATTGTTTCTTTTTTTACCCAGACATTTAAAAAAAAAAGTATTTTAGAGCAGTAATTACAATAATGTGATACCATGAACTAGTGATATTTTTATCCAAGGTTATCATACCATCAGACACTTATACAGACCCGTGCCTAGATGACACTAAGGTCATCATATAATCTAGGTTCTTAAACATTCAACTTTATTAATAATAATAAAGACATAATAAAAGATATGTGTTACTCCATCCTGCAGCAGACATCCATCAAAAAAATTCACTCTATCAAAACAATCAGCTTTGAATCACAGGAATAAATTACTTTTTTAAAATGTATTCAAACTGAAAAAAATTATTTTAAATTTAGTGAACATTTCACAATAATAATGTCTTTACTGTACTTTTGATCAAATGAATGCAGCCTTTGTGAGCAAAACATATATTTATATAGATTTCAAAAATATAAAAATAGTATATTATTATCAGATAGCCAATTGGGGAAAACATTCCTTAAGGAGACTAACAATATGTTTAAAATAATTATTCCAGCCAAACTAAAAGAAATAAGACTTTCTTCAGAATAAAAAATATAGGAAATAACTTGAAAAATGTCATTATTCCTTTAAACATCACTTGGGAGAATTTCACAGAGTGTAATAAAATACATTTGTTTTATAAACCGTATATAAAATATAGATATTCAAACTTTAAATATAATATTCTATTCTAAATATAATATAATATTCTGTTTAATATGAAAACCTGTTCTTCAGTTTGTCCTGAAACATAAGGTGTTCAGAGATCTGCGGGAGGTGGACTGCTGTCTGGGCACCTTGAACCCAAACTGTGATCGAGGAGTCAAGCTGGTCCAAGAAATGCTAAAGCAAGTCATGAAGCTCCACCCTAATAGTACCAGCTTACACATCGGAGCCGATGAGGTATAATACACTCTTCATCAAAAATACGTGACTCCCAAATAAACTGCTGCTCAGATCTTAAAAAAGATGTTTGGCATCGAAGTTGATGGTCCTGGTTTAATATTTGTCTTGATCAAATAACATGCTGTTCATAGGTGTACATGCTCGGTCTCGGTGATGAATCCAAACAATGGTTAACTGCTCCAGGTCGAAATGTTCACCAGCTGTTCCTCGGTCATGTCCTTAAAGTGGCAAAAAGCATTCAGGAGAGTTTGCCCAATCTTAAATTGATTATGTGGGATGATATGCTCAGATCCATGACTTCTGAAACTATCAAAGGTGAGCAGTTCTTCATTTGGTTGTGTACAATGATGCATTTATTCATCAGTGTCAAATGTAAATTCATATGATTTAAAGGATTGTTTATTCACAAATGCAAATTATATTGCTCTTTTTTTAATCTTTGTTCTTTCATTTGTATTTTTTGAATAACTGTAAATGATAGAATTAAAATTACATTAAATATTTTTTTTTAGTAGGCGGTTCTGAACCTTAACCCATATATTGTGTTATAATATGTTGATATATAATTACAAATAGGTACTAGATATAAAACCTCTGGGTATTTACATTTATGCATTTTATTTCATATGATATTGGTGTTTCTAACAGAATGTTCTACTGCTTGAGCTTCACAAAAAAGAGAAATAAATGTGTTGTCAACATTATGTTTAAAAAGTAGCATATAACCTTCACAATTTTAAATAAAGTACTGTTTTTTTATGTAAGGGCAAATAACCGCTAACTAACTTTTTGAAATTGATTATATTTATTGTGGTCATCTCC